AAAATCGATTTATAGCCATTAAATTTACAATATTTTATACCTTCATGTGAGCAATAATTTATAGGTTGCACCTGATCTATGAAATAATTATTAAAGTTTTGTGCTATCTGGTTGGGATTTGTAATATTTTTTCCATCGACGGTTATTTGCGTTATGTTGTCCTTTGGAAACTGTTCCTTATTGCTATTGATGACAGACCATGTTGCTTTAGATTTATTTTTAGAATTAAGTATATAATAGTTATTTTGGGATTTTTGTGTTAATTTTAAAATTTTCTTGTATCTTAAAGAGTATTTCCGAAATATTTCTTTGTCATGATTACTTTTTGAAATTCGATAGGTCCATAACAGATTTCTTCGACGTTTACTACAGTTTTTTATGCCACGTGAAATCCATTTGGGTTTTCGCTGAGTACAAATTTTCCTTCTTACAATAGGGAAGCATAGATCATAGAGTAATTTGAACAAACTAAAAAACTCATTATATGCGTCATCAGCTTCATTCGATGAAAATACTTCATTAAAACTTAATTGTGTCAGGTGTTCCAAAAACTTGTAAATGTTTTCTGCACTATAGTCACGTTTCATTGTAAACCAGTAATTAAATTTACACATTCTTTTTACGGGAATATTTAAGAGCTGTGCACTGTGATCAGACATTTCCCAATCAAGAACTTCACTCTGTATACCGCGAATGTTTTTTGAAAATAATATGTTATCAATACAGGTGCCACTCCTTGGCCTAGTGATAGTTTCGACAGCAGGTTTTAAGTTAAGATTAGACATAATTTGTGTAAATATTTTTGTGTATTTATTTGTATTATCAAGTAAATTAATATTTAAATCGCCACATATGACAATTTTTTTACTGTTGTTACCTGTCAGGGATGTAATCATATCACAGAATTTACTGAAGAACATCTCAAAATAATGGTCTCTATTTCTATTTTTCGGAGGTCTATAAACGCAAGCTATTATCAGTTTTTGTTCTACGAGTTCCAAAGCACAGCATTCTATAACATTAGGCACGTTAAATTTATGTATTATGTCAATATTTTTGTATTTTAAATTATTTTTTATTAGTATACATGAGCCACCATTTCTTCTGCATCTAGTAAAGCGTGATGCTAGTTTAAAGTTAGGAATATTCAGTAAGTCAATGTCATCTTGTACCATATTATGTTCTGTGATGCAAATTATATCAATCTCTCTTTCACAATCCCTTAATTCATCTAAATTTACTATTAGTTCGTCAGATTTATTCAAAAGCCCATCAATATTTTGATGTAGAATATTCAGCCTATTGTACACGAAAAAGCTGTTCTTTGATTTCACTGCTGACTGTATCCGCCAAGGGATACAAACCCTCACTGCTTATTTCTATGGGTTCCGTTTGAGTACCTTTGCTTGTATGTGATTCCAGGTTTTCAGTATTTTTAACGTAATTGTCATAGGACAATTTATAACTAATATGCAATATTTCTCTTAATATATGTCGACATAAAAATGATGCAAAATTATAACGTTTAGGAATGAATCTCTTAAAATCTAAATCCAAGTAAGCAACATTTTTAAACTTCCCACAGATTAGCTTGATGGTATGACTTAACTTAGCCTCATTAAGATGCTTGTTTAATGGTGTTTCACATATTATGACATTCGTGTTTGATAGTAAACTTAACCACAATAAAAGGTTACATTGAATATCTAAAGGGTTGTCATCATTCATACAGCCCAACAATACAACATAGTCCCGAGACGTAAGTAACGATAATTCGGTTTTGTACGAATCTATTATATTTACAAGCTTTGCTCCAGGTTTCCAATATGAAAATATAGAAAATTTGGAGCCCAGTAGTTTTTGCAGAGACTGTCTAACTCCTTTTCCCTGTTGGTCTGCTAATACATATACCTTGCTATTTCCAGTTGATGTCAACCTACTGTTTTGCACCTCATTTTCTTTCCAAGTGTTGTTCTTGTCTCCATTGTTGTTGTTGGTAATATTTTTTGTATTTTCTTGTGTGTGTTTAGGAATATCGATAAGTCCTCTTTCTATTACAGTATGATTTTTCCCTTGTCTTTTATCTTCTGAGGGTTCTTTTCGGCTTTCTTCCTCCTTGGATGAGGGTAGATGGACAATTTTCTTTTCTTTAGTGTTGTTTTTCCCTATTATCGTGTCATCTCCAAGACTAGAGTAATTCAGTTCTTCAAATTCTTTATCTTGTTTGTTCTTTACTATTAAATGACATTCCTGTAATTCACTGATCAGCTTTTCATTTTTCCGTTTCAAATTAAAGATATTGTTTATAAGTTTTTTTGTTCGTTGTAGTTGTTTTTTCGTCCCTTTCCTAAGTCTCTTCATATTTTCTGTCTCCAATTTCGGCAACTTTCCAAAATTCTCTAACTCAACTTCTGTTTGTGTAGATACAGTTACTTGCAAACGTAGATCATTATTAGGTTTTTGTGGGCTGTTATGGGATATAACCTTTCTAATCTTACGGATCACCGGGGACGAAATTTTGTCAAAAGATTCAGCTAGGCCAATTTCCTTAAACATGTTTACCGTTTTCTTGAGTTTTTCAACAGTGCGTTTTAGTTCATTATTTTCCAAAATCATGTTTTCTATTTCTTGATCTGCAGATCCCAAATTTCGAGTCAAAGTTTCTATTTTTAGTTTATATTCTTCCAATAGAAAATTATTTTGTCCTGAGATTGAGGGTAGGCTGTTTGTTGACGTCTCCAGGAGTGATGAATTAGTCGTTATGTCTTTTCCTGTATCACAGTCCGATTGAGAGAAAGACCTTGTTTTCTTTCTGATAGTAATATTCATGTGATCCATTTTTGATGTAGGTCAAATAATAATAATAATTCTGACAAGTAATGAGAAATAATTAAAAAGGAAAAAAAAAAAAGAAAAAGAAAAAGAAAAAAAAAAAAAAAGACTGGTCCTTTGTAGTAGTCAGATTCGAACTCGGAACCCCTGAATTCAAACTGTCCGTGTCAGCCGCTTGGCCACGACACTTATGACGTCAAGTAGCGAAATAGTCAAACACTTCGTTCACTAACGACTTGTTTCGAATCTGTTAACATTTTATCAATGTGGGTATTCAAGTTCGAAGTCCAAATATTGTAATCAGTTCTTCGTCGATGTATTGTTATTTGAAACTACACTGTACGATATTGATTTGAAGTATTTGTTTATGTAGTAATGGTTTATTTAGTCACTTTCGACACTGATTTACACTATTACTTATGAGAAATGTTCACTTTATGGTATATTTTGCTTTCGTTTCCACACTCGAAATATTTACCGGTTGTATCGTCCTTTATCACTGCAATATTAGATCGTAACATTAACACTATGAAAGTTATCGCTTTTACAAACAATTTGTACTAGTCTTTATGTAGTTCAGTGCACTTTTACAATTTTTTAAGATTTACAAACGGGGAGAGACTTCAAAACGATACTCGCGTTGCGATCGCCACGCCACCTCTCTTGTCTTGTTCTTCTTGTCTTGCTTAATCTAAATTAAATATAAAATTATTTACCAATAAACCTAATGTTGGAATTGCATTATCATGTAATCTAGTTACATTCAATGTTATGTTAAACTTTAACTCTTCGAAATGAAGCGAATAAAATAAATGAAGATGTCTTTGATTCAATGTTTATATTCAGTACGGCGGTATGATTTCCAACCATTCTTTATTCTTCTTTTATTAATAGGTAAACTTGAAATATTATAAATAATAATAATAAAAACCTCGTAGTGCATTATTTTAATAACAGAATATCGATAATATGTACGCTTCCAAGAACAGCACTATCTCAATATAATAGTTAACAACAATCATCAAAATATACAAACAAACAGGCAATCTGAAGAAACTAAAGCAAAATTTGCCAAGATTAATGAATAAACTACTTAAATAGGTCTAATTACATGAGATATTTGGGCTTTTGTGTGATGTGACAGAAAAATAACACATGGCTGTACAATGTTACATTCGGTCGATCTTCGCTTTTTCAAATGCCACATCCCGTAATGCTGCAGCGACGAATTTTTATTAATACTTAATTGTTCTCACTGTCAATATTTTTGTCCATTTTATTACAATACATGCGAATAATTCAATAAAACACTTGGAAAAACATTTGTTTTGACATTTGATGTACTTCCCTTTGACAACCGTATCATGTACCTCATGTACTGCGAAATGGACACTGTTGGCATTTAAGATGACGTTACGTATTTTCGATTCCCGTGGTTGACACAGACCAATGTAATGCTATCTCTATTGGCTTAAGACGGCACACAAGAGTTAAACAAAGACAATAACATGTTTATGTTTTCAATGTCGAAATACATCGACCCCTCCTACGTAAAGTATCGTATGTCGAAATTGCCAAGTTTACAGGGAAGCGTTTTAAAGTTCTCAATTCACTGCAATGAGCATAACACGTGACTTTAGCATTTTTCAGTTTTATTCGGCAAAGCTTGTTACTCACATAGAGTATTGTAAAATCCTAGATATTGGTTAGATGATCTACTAGATGATCACTTTATGTCAGTAATGAGGTTTTGCCAAACAAAACGGAGAACTTTAAAACGCTCCCCTGTAAACTTGGCAATTTCGACATACGATACTTTACGTAGGAGGTGTCGACATCACATACGTATAACGTCTGGTTTATATATGTCAACATAACATGTCCTTTAGTTTCCATAGTCTGTGGTAGTCAAACGCTCTACCGCCTCCTGATTGGTTAATATATAAGTGGTACTTGGCCAATCACGAACATTTCCATTCTATCTCTTCGGTTTTTTGTTTTGTGGCGTTAGTTTTGGCTTTCGTCGAGTGTGTGTTGGTAGTGTTTGATTATGTTAATTTAATCATTGAAATTCTTAGCCGATGCATTAAAAGCGAACGATATTATAATAATTGAGAAAGAAAACGCAGAAGCTGTCTCCTAAGTAAACTAGTATTGTATGGTTTCAGGAACCCGCCTGTCGCGAAGCCGCGCAGCTGCTCTCCGCCAGTGCGTGTAGGATATAGGTAAAAAAAATTATAAAGGGTGACTCCGGAATGAACCGTAATAGAAAATGTATTCGACAAGTAACTCATAACTCACTCTCGACTTATCAACCCGTGCACGTCGCACTGCCGGGCACAGGTATCACGTCTAGGCCGTAGTTCACCTCGCGTGGTCGCTGCGTCCGACTTGACGGTTACTTGTGGAATATATTTTAAATTACTGTAATTTGAATCCATCAATAAACAACACCAGAAATACAGATTTAAAAACATAACAATTTATAATAAAATTACTAGAACCATTTTTTAAATATTTTTCAAAAATGGTACTTACTGTATATAGGAGTGTAAAGCTTATTTATTATTAAATAAATAAAATAATTAATAAATATTATTATACTTGTTGTGTCCTGCAAAATCAACGGGGATGAATAGTTCAATATTTCAAGCCTGGTTAGAAACACGAGAAAAATAATTTCAGATGACGGAAGTGATTCTTAATCATTTCACTTTATTTATTACGCGGCATCCGAAGTAATAGTAGTTAAAGTTATCATCGGAGAGAACTGGAATTATTTTTTTACTGACCGCGGCTGCGCATTTCTCCGAAGTATAAAGTTGTTATTAAAAAAGTAAAAATTTTAAGTACATATGAATAAATAGTAAGTAATAGTATCGTCACCGCCACGGAAGAGGAGAGAGGTTCATTTTTGACTCCTCTTGCGTCTCCCTTAAGGTTATTCGGGCTTGCATCACGTTACTTTGTCGTCGCATCCCACGGCGGGACACGGGTCTCCACTATAAAAGGCTAAATATAAATACATAATTATTTAACACCTCGATATATTTACTCAATAGATAGAGATTTATTTACAAAAGAACATTGTGTCAATTCTATTAAACATATTTTGTAGAACTGAACTAAAATCTGTCAGGTCTAAAATTGCTTGACATGTTACAGTCCACTGGTGGACATGACCAGTATTATACGAATATTATTAAACGAACTAACAATTGACATCTTATTTTTTCATAGTGAGAAAAGTTTTTCTAAATATGTATAACAGAATTGCTCATTAATATATAAAATTAAAAAAGTCATTTATGAACAAAACTAAGTATAACAAGAGTCTATGCAATTTGATTATTATTGTTATTTACTTAAATTATTTTTGCGTATCATTTAATAATTTATAATTTTGTGGCCATCGTACGCTGTTATTGTTTAATTTTGTAATTTTTCGATTTAACTCAAAAAAAGGTAAAATGCGATATTTTTTACTTACTTAGGACTCTGAACACGGGCCCCTATGTGTGAATCTCTGTATTAGTCCAAATTTCGAATAAATAGAAAACCTGTCAAGTTCTTGAGAAGTGACAAACGTGCACCGTCCATGTCTGTTACAGAAAGAAATACGATAGGCCAAATTAAATGAAAGCGAGGCCCGAAACGCTGACAGCATTCCCCCTCTGTATGACTTCGCTCATACATTGGGCAAGGTACGGCAAAGCACCACTTTGAATCGTGTGTGTAAGTGGCATTAAGTTGATTTAAATCGTAAGTGAAAAGGGAGATGTGCCTGTGGGCGTTCTAACGTAACAGGTGTATTTGCCTCGTGCCTTTTGTGATAGCTATTGTGAAACTTTTAAAATGTTAATGTATGTGTCATAACGGCGAGGGAACGTACGTCCATGTGAAAAAGCATTAACCTCTCTTTGCCATCGCCGTAGTTGAGGAAATATGTGCCAGTTGTCGATATTTTTACCCGTTTATGAGTTTTAAAATAAATGACAAAATTAAACAACTATTTTAAACTAATAAATTAATATTGTTAATACGTTTCTAAGTTCTAGGTAGGCTGAATGTGTTTAAGAATTAGCGGGTTAAGCAGTCTATGCATTTTTTTAACGTCGTTGAGTAAAACTAGACATTCACGATGCGATTTGCAGGATGATATTAGTCGTGAGCATTTACATAGAGCTGCTCACGTCAATCTTGTAAAGGGTTACAAATAACAAGAACGTGTTAGAAATCGCGAGTAGCGCCACCAGTTTACAAAAGTCGCTTATTAGTTTTTATAATTATAAATGGCGATGTGTGTTATAGAAAATGTAATCGCATCGTGTATGGCGATCATTATATTTATTGTTACGACTGCACCGCTAGTGTATGGCTTGCATTAAGTATTCCTTGCATCACATTGTTTTGTTTCACTATTGTATTTACTTAATAGAGAAACGTTTTATTTTTAAACAATAATGTTGTGTGGAAAGTATTGAAAGGAAGTTACATTTTCGTGTATCGCAAGAGAAGTCATGATAGCCGTTGCAACTTATTGTAATACATACACACATCACGCCCACGCCCGTCTCCCGACGACGAGGGCAGAGCCTGCGAACCTTCACGAGATACGCTCCCTACATTCGCGTCACCTTTCGAAAATACTCATCTGTTTCTGCCCCTGCACTCTCGTTCTTCGTCGCGGCGCTCCAGGGCGAGCCGAGTTGTCTTCGACTTATCCCTGCAGCTGATTATAAGTGGGAAATCGTTGGCAAATGTCAGCACTCGGGTGCATCCCAGTTTCGTGAAGGCGGCCCACCTTCTACTCGGCGATGTGCTGCTTTCGGGCATTTCGAACGCTATCATTTCCCTTACTGTATCACTATTCTTCATGATGCAGTGGTTGCGGGCAAAGAAGAAAATTGTAAGGCTAGAAGAAAACTTAAACAAAAAAGAAATTTAAAGACAAATTGCATTTCTTTTTTTTTGTTTAATATTCTTTTCTTGCGACACATAAAAATGTCAACGTTTGGTGGGAGTTATTCGGAAATGGTAAAAGCATTACTAAATCGATAGTAACGGATATTTACCATTGAGCAAATTCTTTATGAAAACTTTCAAGTTATTTTAATGATTTTTGCCCTCGTTTGTTGCGGGGATTTGGCGAACGCCTCACCCGACGTTTTTGATGTAATATGTCGGGACGTCAGTTGACATATCGGCTAGCGTATCATTCACTGTGAACAAATCACGACTGCACGTTCGCTAGTAAATGATGACGATGACGCCTTAAACAACTAATTTTTACATTTCAGGGATCATTAAATAATGTCTACTTTTTCTTTTATGAAAGATTAAGATCCCATTGTTGTTGGTTCTTTAATCGAAATTGAAAGTGAATAATAATAATATTTTCAGTAAAATAATTGTAAATTGATAATTCAAACCAACTCGAAATACGGTCTCGATGTAATCATATTTTGACCAAAAAAGAAGTAATAAAATAAATTTATTAATTAATAAAACTATGGGGTCACTTTTGAAATTTTGTTTCGTGGACCGGATGAAAATTTCAACACGTAAAGCTACCTCTGGCTTTGCGATAATCAAAATCAAACTAGATGTGGACTATGCGGCTTGTTGTTACGAAATTTCATAAGGTCGCCCCCTGTATTATAAATAAATAAATGTAGATATTATCATAACTATAACGCCTTTGGGTATGCACGCTGTGTGTTGTTCCCTTATGTGCGGCAAACAGGAGTATATAACAATGTTAAACGCCTGTAGTGATATTATGTCTATTGAATGTTCTATGACTAATTTACATGAAGTGACCAAAGTCCAACACGGGGCTTTAAGTGCAATAGCCCAGCGCCGTGTGTAGACTCGAAATAGGGAAGATGTGTTAAAATATTTACCTCTAGCGGTTGAATTGGCGGTCGCTGTTAACAGATACGTTGACGTGGTGCTCATCTATGGATTATTATCTCCAAGTAATCCGTCGATGCATTCCGCGACACCCACATTTATTCATCGTGGTAAGATTAGCCGCCACGCGAATGTCATGTCATGTAACCTTGCCATAGACAATATTTTTAATTATGACTTCAAAACAACACAAAATATTACTAAAATTGCCTACAAAAAGGGTTTTATAAACTTCTGTCTGCCATTTTATAAAGTAATATATGTTTTCACACGGCGCGGCTTTCGACTCGGCGCGCGACTCCGTCCACTCTAGCCTGAGCGCTCGTAGTTGAGATATTGAAAAATTTGTTCTCTCTCCCTCTCTCGTACACATTGCTTAATTAAAACGTGTTAGAAAGGGATGTAGTGTTTAAGATTCTTTTCTGATGTTAGGCGTGGAAGAAATCTAAAGTTGACGGTTATGTCGTCGTTATAGTACACGTCTCGCAGCCGAACTCGGCGATCCGCCCGCAGAATATAAGGAATCTGGGTACATAGGGTGCCTTTCGTTCTTTAGTGTAAATAGGTAATATTCAATTCCTAACATAGGAAAAGAACAAAATATTAAAAAATTTAAAATGTTCAAATTGCGCCCACGGCTAAAAATCGCGTAACATACAAAAGTGACGCGATTATTGTGTCGCGTCCAAATTCGCGCCGTGTTTAGACGGCCTTAGTATAGTCTGCTTCATTGAGTGATCGTTTTGTTTTTTGTATTAATTTATAGTTGTTGATTTTTTTCGCAAAAGAATCTTAATTTTAACCAAAGAATTTTGCTACATTGTTGAAAATCACTGTATTATTATTTAAATAAATTAATTTATGATAATTATTATTATTAAAAACGGATATGGGGCCGCGGCCCTTCATTTATGTAATATACGTAACAGATTTATATTATAGATATATATTTAAATGAGTAAATTATTAAAAACGGTGTTTTATTTAAACCCTAGTCTTTAGATCTATCTGGTTGAGGTGAACAATACAGCATTTTCGGACACTGGCTGTGTGGGTACATGTGCAGTCGAAGGTTTAGCTGTCTCTATGCCTAGCTCTATGTCTAGCGTCTTAGGGTCGTATTCCAGAACCCTACTCAATGCTCAAGTCCCGACTTGTGTATGATTTAAAGCACGAGAATCATATTCAAGTCCTTTCCATTAGGGTCGAATTTCCAGTGCTTGAAATCGTACTCGTCTGCTCAAATCCTGACCCTTAGGGTCGTATTCTAGAACTCTACTCAATGCTCAAGTCAGGATTGCACTGGAAATACGACCCTAATGGTAGGGACTTGAGTATGATTTCGAGTGCTTTAAACCATACTCAAATCCTGACTTGAGCATTGAATAGAGTTCTAGAATACGACCCTTAGAGTCACTACACTAAATCCGCTTGAACCACTAAAAGCTTTGTCCATGCCATAAGAACGAAAAAGACGTTCCACATTTCGCCATCACTCGGACTGCCCGTCGCGGACGCACGTCTTTTTCGCTTATTACGAAACAAAACTTTCTCTGACCGGCGCACAGTGGGCCTAAAAGGCAAAAAAAAAAAAATTTTAAAGTTGATGGTTTCAGAGAAAAAAAGTTTTTTTTGTATGGAGAAATTGGGAGAAATATACATTTTATTTTTTATCTCGGTACGTATACGGTTTATTTACAGTTTAGGTCCAATAATTCTCTATGAAGAAAAAAATAATCCATCTGCAGGTACTTGCGGTTTTACGAGTAAGAAGGTGTCAAAATTTTAGATTTATTTATTTTTTAACACAATTACTACTTTCTACTTAACTTTCGTGTTATTTAGGAAATGAAACTATTTTTCCGGATTTAAATCGCGTATATTTGTTGTTTCAAACAAACCGACGTTTCGTGTTATTGTTATAACACTCTCTAAATTACACTAAAATTCATTTTTCTTGAGTCGAAGCTCATGTATTTTGTTAATAAAGTACATAAAAAAGTTAGCAATTTTGCCGCACCTTTACTTATAAAGCCGCAAGTACGTACATGCAGACGGATTATTTTTTTTATTTTGATTTGGTACAAAGTCTGTTTTCAAAACAAATGTGTTTAATTTAGTCTCTCACAATTTGAAAATATAAAGTTTTATATAAAAATGTTGAGACTTAGCAGTGTTTTAGTTTTCAATAATTTTTGAATATAATATTTTTCCGCACAACAATCTCCACTTCGTAGCACTTCAAAATGACACTAAAGTTAGTTGCGTATTGTAAACAACTTGGCGGCAATCGACATTGCTTGATTGTTTCTTTCTTCTTTATCGGATGCATCTTCTTGGACAAGCGTCCTGCTTTTGATTCAAATCGGAGTCGAACCGATCGGGTAGTCTCGCATTCAGATGGGTTTCGAACCTGATTCCTACTATATCTTTCTAATTTGTGAGAACCAACTGTTGTTCCGATAAGAAATGTTAAAAGTTTCCGATCGGCCAGTTGTGAATCGCAATTACGCGCCTCGACTCTGAAAAGGCGCAGTTTCCGATCGGGAGAGGCAATTAAAATCAAGCTGCAGCTTGATTTTGATTCTCTCTCCCGATCAGAAATCGAGTTGGTTGAGAAAGGCGGGGCGTATAACATCGCGAATGGATTTGAGTTAAAATCTGGGTACTGGCTATTTAAACCATTGTTAAGCTCTACATTTCCGCAGAATATAATGGGAAGCGAGTTTTTGTAACAAAATTGTACGTACCGAATGAACTTTATGTTAACTATTCGTGTAACGTACAAACTATATTAGATGTCGACAAGGCAAAAAAACATCGCGCGTTTTCCGGAGAATACACGCGCATTCTCCAGAATACTGTCGGCGGCACACAGAAATAAATATCGGATGTACTACTTATTAATGTTTTATTTTATTTCTATTTTCGCTTTAATTAATACATTTAAATGAATACTTTTGCCCAGCAGTGGATGAGTGGGACATAATGGGTCAATTAAAAAAACAATTAATACATTTTCATTTTTAAAAGATATGATGAGTACGCTGCTGATAGACTTAATAATTATCGCCTGCATTCGCTCGAGGACAGACGTCTAATACCCGACATTAAGTTTTTATTCGACATAGTAGTGCACTCTGTGCTAGATCGCCTCGAGCTGACGGCTCGCATTCGCCTATATGCCTGCACGACTCGCACGAGGCATATTGCGCTCTTTGCATTCGGGCTCTGTCCGTACAAACTACGCAAAGCACTCTATTTTGCATAGAATTGTACGCACTTACGAGGACAGATTCAGGGACGTTGATATCTTCTTTCTGAACGGCAGCCAATTCATTACTTCTTTGAAGAAACACTCAATTGAATGGCATTAAAAATTAAGCTGAGCATACATGTACACATACACACACACATGTGCATACTATCCTTGCAACTATACTTTGTTAGGTATGTTTTAGTTATTTATTGTAATTTTGATGATTTCATTGTATTACAACAGTTTTCCGTAACTTCACTTTGGTTTAATTTATTAGAAATTTAATGTGACTAAATGAATTGTTTAAATGACAAACTGTAAATGGCTAAATGTGTTTGTGATTTAAGAATATAAATCGAATTTAAAAAGCTGTAAAGTTTGAAAATAAATAAATAAATTTAATTTAGTAAAAATTCGTAATGTTAAAATGAAATATTTTGCAACACTTCTGTAGTGTATAATTATTTAAATAAAAGCTACAAGTTCTTACTCACTGATAGAAATAGAACGCATACTTCCCGATATGGTGGAAAAAATATATTTATACCGTTGTACGCGGATAGGCAACAAGGCAAAGAATCAAATATAAAGAAAGAATCAAATATTAAATTTTTGATTGCCGTTTTATTATAATTAGTTTATTATTTTATGATCTTAGTAACCGATTTTTGAGTATGAATACAAATAATATTTACTATTTTTGCTGTCGCGCGTATTACTTATCATTTTTGTTCATTTTATGGACCGCCTATATAATTGTAATGTTTTATGCTTCTTTGTTGCTATTTGTTGGCTATACTGTTTCTATATTAATTATGAAAGGGTTCTGTCACAGTGAACACTAACTTCAAAATATACTATCAAAACGCACGGGGATTACGCACTAAAACGACGGTATTCTTTCGTAACTTATGTACTTGTAACTATGACTTAGTGATTATTACTGAGACGTGGCTGTTGGACAGTATTAAGGATGCTGAACTTTTTGACAATCGCTACGTTGTTTGGCGGCGCGATCGCAACTATGCTGCAACGGGCCAGATTTATGGTGGGGGTGTATTGATAGCGGTACGTCGGGACCTTACCGTCATACCGCAGCCTACATACCACTCGAGTGCTGAGGATTTATGGCTGACTTTGGTGCTTAGACAACGTGACGTGGACCGTCATATCAATCTACATATTTGTGTTGTTTATTTATGTAACGAGGGGCAGGGTTTCACTTTTTCTCAACAATTAGATAATTTTCTGAATAATTTAGATACAGTAGTCATGCGATCGCCGTACGACAAGTACTTGATTGCGGGAGATTTCAATTTGAGTACCTTAACGTGGACTCCAGGCTGTGCTGACTGTTTTTCTTTAGACCCATTGAATTTTACCACTGATGACGAAAATTTACTGGTGGATGAGTTAAACATCCTTGGTCTTGGACAGTTTAATGGCATAAGGAACGTTTATGGGAGGACTCTTGACCTTGTCCTGTCAAATGGTGATGTCAAGGTTGCAGACTGCAGTGAAGACCCGCTCGTACCAATTGACCTGCACCACGGTGCCCTAACTATCGAACCGCAATTTTTTGACCTTGTTCCCTTAAGTAGTGCCTCGTATGTAAAGTATCTTTTTAATAAAGGTAATTATGATGCGATAAATTCAGAAATTTCATTAGTTAACTGGGAGTATGAACTAAACACAAAACCTCTTGACAGTGCTGTTGATTTTTTCTACACCACCTTTCAGTCAATGAGGGATAAGTACATACCACGTAAAACTGTCACTGGTAAGCGATATCCTGAATGGTTTTCCCCTGCTCTAAAAAAATCTCTCAAAGAAAAGTACAAATATTTGAGGAAATATAGAATTTACGGTAACAGTGCTGATGAGCAATCTTTTAAACTATTAAGAGATCGATGTAAGACTCTAGAGAAGCAAAGTTATAGGAATTATATAAATTTGGTAGAGAATTATTTGAAGGATAACCCAAAAATGTTCTGGTCATTTATTAAGTCTAAGTCAAATGTGAATGACATTCCAATAAGTATGAAATTCGAAGAGTCTGTTCTTAACACTGGTGACTCCATTTGTAATGCATTTTCCAAATACTTTCACTCAAATTTTTTGGACAGCCACGTACCATCGACATCTCAAACTACTTTTTGTGCACACGCTTCTACCCCGACCGTTGCTAGCATTTCTAGTATAAAAGTAGATGGTAATATTATATCAAAAATTCTCTCGC